TATATATATATGTATATATTTGTATATGTATATATATGTATATATATATGTATATATATATATGTATATGTGTATATATATATATATGTATATGTATATATATATATATATGTATATATATATATATATGTATATATATTTATATGTATATATATATATATGTCTGTTTTTATCGTGATTGGCTGTGATTGATGTAGAAAGTGGAAATTTTTGACTTTCACAGCAAGGTCACCAAAAATCTGCAGCTGGAATAAATTGATTAATTCTCTTAGTCTTTTTAACTCCAACATAAATTTGTCAAATCTCCTGAATATCTGAAGGGAAAAGCTCAAGCCTACCACCAAGACTTAACATCTCCATCTCTGATTACAAACCTTCTCTTCTGTGTTCGTTTCTTTCTTTAAATTTGAATGTTCCTAGTGAAATATGAGAGGATCAAGTTCTTGGTTTTGGCTCTGAAGAACTCTGTGGAGGTCTATGCCTGGGCCCCCAAACCCTACCACAAATTCATGGCATTCAAGGTAAATAAATGTTCTAATGTAATTATTACTTACTTTTTTCTTCTGATATTTTTGTCTTATTGTATTTTTTGGGTTTATCAGAGAAAAGTGTTTCTTAACTCAACTTTACTAACCTTTACTTTAAAAGATTATTTATGTCAGACTTTTGCTTACTGGCTGTCAAGATTTGACTTTATATTTTCTGATCTCCACTCTTCAGTCTTTCGGTGATCTGGTGCACAAGCCCCTGCTGGTTGATCTGACGGTGGAGGAGGGCCAAAGGTTAAAGGTCATCTATGGCTCATGCAATGGCTTTCATGCTGTCGATGTGGACTCTGGGGCGGTGTACGACATCTACCTGCCGACTCATGTAAGACCACAGCAACATAACTCAATGTGCACGTTTGTTTTGCATGTTAAAGATGATCAGTTTAAAGGAATCGTTCAGATCATTTGAACTGAGATTCTGTGAAAAAGTTATAATCAGTACCTTCCCTATTATGGACAACTTTTTGATTATTCCCAATTTGGAGAAATAGTTTAATCTGGATAATATTGACATTATATGATTATTTACATAAATTTCTCTGGTTATTTGTTAATTCAAATAGTAGCAGCTAGTTGTAGCCCTGCTGGTGCAGTCTAGGGGCTCTTTCAGCAGATTACTTCTGTCTTAATGTGAAACCAAAATCAGGTTAAAGGTTTATAAGTTAGAATTTGGATAAACTCTTGTGAAGGTTTTTAGGCTAAAGCTGTTTTACAATGGCAGTGGTCCACTTTGACAATTTAAAAGGCTAGTCTGAGTGAAGCAAGGCTCAATCTGATCAGAACTAAACTTCATTTCCCCAAACAGAGATCGCTTAAAGACCTATCTACAATTGGTAGAATATTGCTTGTTCATTACTTGTCCACAGAACCCTACTTCAAAAAATCTGAACCACTCCTTTGAGCTTCATGTTGGATACAGTGAATGTTATGACTGCCAGAAACAGTTGGGCAGGTGAGTTCTGTTAAAGGGCAAATGGCGTGTTAAATGTCTGTTTTTACTGAATGCAAACAAATAATTATTTGTTATTTGTTAATTATTATATGAAAAAAGTCTTTTTTTTATGCGCCTCTTGAAACACGGATGTATTATGGTATAAGCTTCATCCATCTGTTCTTAAACTTTTTCTTGTCCCGCCCATAACTCCTGATCCACTCAAGATATGGATCATCACTAGACAGAGTGCTTTGTACACTCTTCGTCACGCCAGCTCTAAGGTCAAGGTCATAAATCAAGATACTTGGTCTTTGCTTGTCCGGGCCGTTGCTATAGATTGTTTTGTTGCCATTAGTCAACGGGTTTATAATGTGCCATATGTGGTACTCTTGTTTTATTGGAGTTTGGTTTGATGTCTCCAGATTCAGACCAACATCCAGCCTCACGCTATCATCATCCTGCCCAACACTGACGGCATTGAACTGCTGGTGTGCTACGAGGACGAGGGCGTTTATGTCAACACGTATGGTCGCATCACCAAGGATGTGGTGCTGCAGTGGGGGGAGATGCCCACCTCAGTGGGTGAGTCATTCAGACAGGAGCTACACAAACAGCAACAACATTCAGCTCTTATGAATTCTTTTATAATGTCTATACATTCCGTAGATCTTCATTTTCAGGGGTCGCCACAGCGAGTCATTCTCCTCCATCACACTCTGTCCTCTGTCCTCACTCCAACTACCTCCATGTCCTCTCTAACTGCATCCATATATCTCCTCTTTGTCTTTTTCCTGGCAGCTACATTTCTAACATCCTTCTACCAATATACCCACTGTCCCTCCTCTGGACATGTCCAAACCACTGTCCCTCCTCTGGTCATGTCCAAACCACTGTCCCTCCTCTGGTCATG